TTATCCTGCCCTTGTCTCCAACCACAGATGGACAAACCTGCTTTGGGCCAGGTCCGGAGCAAAGCTGGAGCCTCCAACCCGGGATCAAGGTGGATCCAACCCAACGATGTGGAGGCTGTGGCCGTTCTGCCCCAAACCCACCGAGACAGCAGCACTCACCCTCCCTGCCCCTGCAGCACACCCGGGAGGCCAACAAATCCCAGCTGCTCCCACATCTCAGCCCAGGAGCAGCTTTTCAATGGAGAAGGCGACTCCTCCGGAGGAGACTTGGTCACCAGAGCTCTTCCTCCTCCTCCTGAAGATTACCCTCATCTTTCCCCCCCGCCCCACCCAACCCACCTCCTCCCAACTCAAAACTTACTCTAAACTCTGACTGGGATCAGCTGAACGTAACCAGAGAGAGCCCCAGGCCGGCGCTCCCTTCGGCACGGCCACTCCCAGGGAGCTCCACCGGCACAAGTCATATCGCAGGGGAGGTTGCTGCAATATCACAGGCTTAAGCTGGTTATTTCTTTCTTCTTTGTTTTAAAAGCTACAATATTCAGGTAGCTCAGGGAAAAAAACAACCTTTGGATTTTGTCTGCTCATAAATCCATCACAGCAGCTTGAGGGAAAACAGTAAATAAGATATTGGGAGGAGAGCGCGAGAGGCCAAAAGAAGAGTATCTGCCTCTGGATGCGCGATTTGCAACCGCGGCCGGGTCCCGGGCTGTGATATTAGTGTGGGGTATTGATTTGTTCTTAATCCAGAGAAATGCCCCTGTAATGAACTCCGCTGTGCCCTTAATGACTTCATATCGAGGGATGTCAGGTGCCTCGCTCGGAACGGAGTAACAGCCGGCCCAGAAATAGCAAGCCTCATAATAAAATGTTATTGAGGAGCCCGAATTTCAATATAAAAGGGACTCTGCTCTGCTCAAGGGCTTACTAGAGACAAATGCGGATACTTAAAAAAGTTGTATTAAAGTCGTGTCGGCGCCTGAGTTACAGAGGCAACGTGAGCTGCTGCTCCGGGGAGCGACTGCGCCCTGGGTCCCCGGGAAACTTTTAGGCAGATGTGATCCGGGCCAGATTTAATCCCGATGGATGCCCTCTCCAAAGCAAGGGGCAGATGATCTTGGGAGGGGCTTGGCTCCAAACACAGAGACATCTGTCTGCGCCTCCCTCACCCTGGGGAGCTCTTCCGGCTTAGAAGAGGGCAGAGACGCGGAGCGCATCATCCAATTTCGTACCTGACGATCCCGAAGGGACACATTTGCACCTCCAGCCTTGCTCCTGCTCCAGGTCCCCAGGATATTATTTATTTCTGCAGCCTTATTCCCACCCAGCATTTTTGGCTCTGCAGAACAAGTGGTCCCCATGGGATCCTGGCAGCCACACGACGGGCCAGGAGTGCTTCCCTGCGGGAGGAGGCCCCCTCTCATCCCAGCATGGCCACCCCCTTCAAACACACTTCTTCCCTTTCCCCTCTCCCAATCCACTCTCCCCGGCCCCGTTTGAGCCGGCAGCCCTCACCGCGCGAGAACAGATGGAGATGAAGTCTCTTTTCTCCATTTTTCCCTTTAGTCCCAGAACGCTGCAGGAAGAACAAGGTCTCCTCAGTTGGCAAATGCTCAACAGCAAGTTCCAGTGGCCGTTTCAGCCCGGCTGCAGGAGAGACCAGCGGCAACACCTCGTCACGGAGGCAGGCACAGCCCTGGCTGAAGCAAAAAGCCCCTCGATAGCTCCCGTCCCCTCATTTCTGGATCGCCTGCTCGGCAGGAGCGATGACTACTCTGGCCCAGGGTCCTTCTCTTGCTCCCTTCCTCCCACTGTCCGAGACGTCCAAATTTACCTGTGTAACACCGGGGCTGGATTGGCTCTTGGAAATAAGAAACGGAAGTTTTTGATCAAAGAGGACGAGGAAAGGGAAACAGGATTAGAGGGGAAGAAGAAACATTGATAGGAATGACATTGTCTGCTGTGCTGGGCAGCCTCCAGCAGCCGCCTGGGGCTTTTCTTGGTGAAAGACCCCACATTTGCTGGGACTGATTTTAATACCCCATCCAGGTCACTGGAAAATGTTTGAATAACATTTGTGGGTGGGTTGTTCGTTTTTTTTTTAAATATAAAAACCTTATCTAATACATAGGCAGCCACCTTTGCTGTCCTGTGATTTAGAGCACCGCTCCCTGCTCTGAGGTTCAGGATTGTTCAAGCTTGGAAGTGTGGGGGAAAAAAAAAACCAAACACCTCAGAAACGTTTGAGTAATTCTGCCACAGAGCCCAAACAACTGAATCATTCCTGAGCCCATCCGCAGAGCACGAGGCGTTCGGCAAAGGAAAGAGCAGGTCAGCCTTCAGCTGACCACTGCTAAAAACTTTAATGGACATCCTGGAAGGGAGCGGTGGGAGAGGGAGGAGGGAGGAAAAGGAAATAAATTGTAGCATTGATTGCAGGTTGATGGAGGAGCGGGGATGGGAACCGCAAGGAAGGACAAAAATGTGAATTAGCCCGGGCTATCTTAGGGAGTTGGGCACGTTTAAATGGGACAGGGTTTAATTTAGATAAAGATTAATAGTACCTGACGATGCTCAGCACGCAACAGGGGAATAACACGCTGGGTGTGGGGGCACGTGACTTCAGATGTCATTTTGTCGTGTTATTTCGGACCCAGGGGGGGGCAACTGAGCTGAAATCCTCAGGGAGAGGAGATCGTGGTTGAAGTCCCAATCCCCAAACCAGCGCCTGGCTCCAGGTTTCTGGGGTAAAGAGGTTCTGCCATTTCTGATCAAGCCAAGAACCGTAAACCTCCAACCCCAGAGGGGCTTTCCCCGTAGGGAGACACGGGGTGCAGCCATCGAGTCATCTGGGTTGGAAAAGACCTTGAAGACGTTGAGTCCAACCTGGGCCCGCGAAGAGGGGACGCCTGGGGGGCTTTGCCCATAGGGAGACACGGGATGCAGCCATCGGGTCATCTGGGCTGGAAAAGACCTTGAAGACGTTGAGACCAACCTGGGCCCGCGAAGAGGGGACGCCTGGGTTTTGCTGTCCCACCGCGTTGTTTGTGAGCTGGTTTGGGATCAGAAGCAGCCCCGCGAGGCAGCGCAAAGCCCCCGTGTCTGGTGTGAACCTGCTGGGACAGGGCGGCTGCCCCAAAGCCTTCCATTTTCCTACGCGGAGTCGAGTACAGAATCTTAAGCTTTATTTTTTTCTATTGGCCAGCAACGTAAACTAGGTTACAAATAAAAAGGAAAAAAAAAAAAAGCAATGAATATTATTACACAAAGTATAAAACAACTCGACGGACACAAGGCAACGTACTGGTCGTATCTCGTTCTTCCCGGCCTCTCCCAGCCCTGCACACGGTATCTGAAGGGAAGGAGCAAAGGCAGCCACAAAGATACGCTTCAAAAACCAGAAATATTGCTTCAAGCAACGTGCTCAGTGTTTTCCTCTTAGTTAGTAGTCAATACTCGCCAGGAACTCACTTATAAAACAACAAATAATTTAGAGATTCCTCCTCTAGGTCATTACACAATAACTGAGATTTCTTTCCACTCTTTTCCTGCCGCTGTAGAACCAAGGATACACCTCGGTTCCCCCGTCTCCCTTTCTGCATGAGTTAAGGATTATTTCAAGGGGGGGAAGTTTCAGATTGACCTGCTCTGAATTTTAACTTGTCACCCTTTAGCACCAGCCCAAGATTTCTGCTCTGGGAACTAAAAACCCCACGATGCCACCAGATCCGGATGACTTCGCTCCCGTTACCTGTCTCTGCTGCCAAGGGACAGGGCTCGGCTGGCACCAGGCCAGAAGAGGGAATAAATTATAAATTTTCTAAAAGGGCTTGTCTTCACTGCTTAGAAACAGCAAAACCCCATTTCTGCTTCCTGGGTGTGACAGGCGGAAGGTGAGAACCAGGCGAGAGGCACGCAAGGTCCCAGAATTCAGGCTGAGACGCTGTCGGCATCACGACAGCAGCGGCGGCGTCCGTGTCCTCCGCAGCCGACCAACGAGCTCTTTCGAGGCTGATACAACATTAGTGTATATTCAATTCCTGCCCAAGAGAGACAAGCCTGGAGGTTTTAATTAGAAAAAAATCAAGGCCAGGGCATCCCCCAACATGGAAGAGAAGCGAGAAGGTTATTTCCACTACCTGAACAGGAGGAAAGGCAGCAAGATATACAAACAGCCCAGTTCTTCACCAAAGCCCAGCAGGGGACAGGGAGGTTTCTCACTCACTGGGAGCCGCTAGATAAACCAGACCCGAAAGAATTAGAAAGCAGCCCCTGGGCTTTGCGGAACAGAGGCAAAAAGCCTTTTGTGGCTTCTGACAGCACCGGGCTGGGGGAAGCTTCGAGGAAGAATCACTGAGAAATCCTAAGACACCCACGTCTTGGCAACATCAGGGCAAGATGATTTCAGTCGTGGCCGTTGTGCTCCAGGTGGGCAGGGGGGCGAGCTTCTGCCCCAAGCAATCCTCTCAGGTGGAGAAGAGCTTTCTTAAGGACATCGGTGCACACTTGGGAGGAGGGAGAGAAATCTTCTGTCGTCCGGGAGACTCAGCTCTGGCTCCAGCTCAGCGCAGAGACATCATCTGTCCTCACGGTCAACACCTGGTGCTGCTGAGGCGCTTCTCCGAGAGCAGAGCGTGGTTCTCATCCTGATACCTTCGTGTCAGCTCAGGGAAAAGCCTCAAGAGGAACGGCCGTGCGTAAATCTCGCTTCGTGGTTCTATCAAGGGACTGTTTCGCGAAAGCTTTTGGTGGAAGATCCACAGCTCTTGTGTTTCCCGACAACAGAGAGGACCCGCGGAACTCCTGGGTTCCTTCCACACAACAAGGAGGGTGATTTTCCCCCAAAAGGGAGCAGGTAAGGCAGTGCCTGGTTCGAGAGGCGTTTAATGACAGAGCCAAGCCCTGAGGTTACGGACACTTCGGTGGCGGCGGCACAGCGTGGTCAGGTCGGCAGCGCGATGGGAAGCAGCAGAGGGGGAGCGACAGAGTTCCCGCAGCCATTAATACGGTTCCGCCTTTAAACTCCTGTACAAGCAGCAGGTGAAAATCATCCCAAAGATCTACAGGGTGGAAAGAGAAGAGAGAAATGTATGGAAAGGAAAAAAGGGAACGGAGGCAGCAGCTTGTAAAGTAACAGCCTGGACCCAGGCTGGAGCGGCAGCAAGCTTCTGCCTAGCGATACCGGGCTCCGGCTCGCAGTAAGCAGCAGGAGAGAACACAAATCTGTGCTAATCCTTGTAATTAATCACCGGCAGCTTCTCCAGGGTGTCACTTGCATTAAGCGACTTGCCAGGACAAAGGGGAGGACGAGGAACTCCCAGAGACACCTGTAGCCGGGTGAAAAGAATATCCCGTGCCCTCCTCTCTAAAATCCGAGTTGGGGGCTTCCTTATCCTACCCCTTCCTTATCCGTCACCCTCTCCCAGCTCACTCGCAGACCCACAGCACCGTTCTGCGATAAGATGGAGAAATTCTGGATGACTTAAAATAATCCGGGTAGGAAACTCCTCCCGACCAGCCACGCCAGATCCCCACAAGAGGGAGCAGAAGCCTCACTAGAAGCAAATTTTACGGCCCAGCAGAAGAGGCTTTGTGCTTTGGAGCTAGGGACTCCTTGGGGCCCCGAACTACCGGGCAACTTCTTGGTGCCAGCCAAAGAAAAGCTTAAAACATCCAACTTCTTTTCCATCTCTCAGCTCTGGGGTTCCTTTATCGCCTGACAAGCACCCCCAAAACTCTGCGCAGCCCTTTTACCTGCACACAAGCGATGCTGATCCCCACCGCCCCGATAATTTTCAGATGCTCTTGAATGAAGTTTTCCAGCTTGGTAATGCAGCCGCTCTGCGGGGCGAAAGGAAGGACAAGGAAAATCAGCTTCACGTTAACCAAAGTGTCTGCGAGCAACCTCCGTTCAGTTTTTTGTGATCTTCACCTCCCTGTTCCTTCCCCAAAATTAATGGTTGTTTCCCTTTTAGCTGTTCGAGTTGCTTGGCTTAAGGCAGATGTTGCTCACACTTCCAAGTCCTGCTCGAAGCACAGATTTTGAGAGAAGAAATATCTGCCCTGAGGGGGCCACCTCTTCACATCTGCGTATAAAATAGTCACCTAGATGGGTGAAAGCTCAGCTAAAGGAATGAATTCTGCTTTCTAAGGAATCCCACCAACTTGGAAGCCTACCAACAGCTTGCAGCAAAAACCCAACGCCCTCGCTCCCTGCCCACCTTTACGTGTTTCGTAGAGGAGCCCTTTTGCTCTTTTACCTCCTTGTAGATGTTGGAAGGATGGTCTCTTCGGCCGCACAGGTCAGTGATCGTCTTGCAGCAGCTGTCGGGGACTTTGCGCGCGTTGGCCTCCACAGATTTGATCCACACGCTGTCAGCCCAGTCCGTGTAGTTGTTGCTCCCACAGCACTTGAACTGTGTGGACGGAGAGTGAAAGCTGAGCCTCCGCGCTCTGTCCCCCTCCTCCAGCCTCCCACACCAAGCCCTGGCTGGCCTTCACCTTCCTTTCCAGAGAGACTCCAGAGGCTCTTTTTTCCCAGACAACTTATAATTGTTAGTGACTTTTTTGGTGGGAAAACCTGTCAGAACTGCGGCAGCCGTGATCCTGGGGCAGGCACAGCGGCGGGAAGGCTTTCGTCACATCCTGCTCTCAAGGGTACTGGGGAGCTTAACAGAATCATAGAATGATTTGGGTTGAAAGGGACCTCAAAGACCATCCCTGCCGTGGAAAGCGTCAGCAGCTTCTCCAAAGTGGGAAGTAGAAAGAGCTGTCAGAGTGACCAGGCAGCTCTGGTTCACTCCGGGAGCAATTAAGAGGCTTTTTTTCCTGGGCGCACAAATCGGAGATCACACCAAGGCCCCTTGTCTTGACTCAGAAGCAGCAGAACTCAGCACACGGAAGAAACACTCATATGTTGGACGTCACGAGCCCACCACAATGAGTTTCGTGCCTTTGTGACTGTGTTAATTCTCTCTCGACACCTACCTCCTGCTGCAGTTTGTCTACCGCGCTGGTAACGCTCTCTTCTCCCTCCCTGCGGTACTTCTGGGTCATGGTGTTCTTCAAGTTCTGCTTCAGCTCCATGCTCAGCTGAACGGGAGAGACAAGTGGGATAAAATCACAAGGTGAACTCTCACCCCTCATGCGGCGCAGAGCCCTGCCTACGTTTTGTTCCCCTTCGCTCCGAGATGAAAGCAGAGAGCCTAAGAGGAGCTACAGCTTCCTTCGAGATCGTCCTCCAAGGTGGGGCTGGACAGGCTCCTTCCTAAGAGAACAGAGATCACACCTCCAGTTTAGTAACTGAAAGGAGGAGCTTCAGGGCCAAACTTGAGCCTGCCTCACACGGGTCCGCACCGTGAATGCACAAGATTGTCAAGACATCACGAGAGAATACACACCTGTGCCTGCTAAAACACGAATATGCCTATGAAACCACCACCTCGGAAGCCTGTGACAAGATACCGAAAACCAAATCGCTCCGTCTCGGAGCAAAAAGAAATCAGAGACCTGGGCGTGCTGGACTGAAGTCACGTAGCCTGAATAGCTCTTATCGAACAGGGTGCCACAGGAGTGTGCGACTGCAGAAGCACTGCAAGGCCCTCCTCGGTAACAAAGTCTGATTTGGCAAGTACAGAACCTCGGGAAACATCAGGATAAACCACTGACACATTCCGGTGATCAGATTCTAAGGTTTATTCCTGTGGAGGTTCTTTGAATCTGGCTGAATTCTTCTCCAGGTGACAGCCTAAAAATGTCATCTTTGTGGGGTTTTTGTCATCCTGGTTTGTGCGACGATACCACTTTAGTCCCAGACCTGTGAAATTCTACGTTGCCTATAAACAACCTCAACGTGCATTTTAGATGTGTCAATGAATGAAACAGTGGGTCGTCTCTCTCTACACCTTATGTTCTACACAGCAAGTAATAAACGAGAGGTCCAACATCTGGTTACGCTGAACTGTACCAAACACCATCTGCAGTTTATTCTGTTTTTTCCAACCCCAAATGGGGACAGCACCTACCTCACAGAAGTGACACGAGGCTTCGTTCATTAATATTTGCAAAATGCTTTGAGGTCCTGGGCTGGGAAGCTCTACAGAAGTGCAAATGACTTAGTGTAATAAAAAGAAAGGAAAAAGTTCAGCGGCTGGAAGGCAGCAGAGGTAAATAAAGAGTCCATTAGCAGAATTATTACTTGGGAGAAAAGCAGTTACCTGCGGGCTCACGGGGAAGAACTGCAGCATGGAACAGAGATAACAAAAGAAACAGTTTAGACACACACACACGTGCACAAAGAAAGAGCGGAAATAAAACCAGCGGCCAACAGAGCAAGCGGGAAAGAAGGAGGATTTGTCAGCCAGGGGGCAAGGGGAAACGCAGAGACTGATCAGAGACGCCCGCGAGCGATCTCAAGCGCTCAAGGGTGCAGCTCTGAGCACGCTGTCCCTTATTCCCACCTAAGCATCAGCTCCTCTTCGTACACGAACCTCGTGCCGTTGCAGGGAAGGAAGGACAGACCCTGGCCATGCCCGCCAGGACTGATCTTTCCTCATTAAATACGCACACTCGTGCCACCGACCCCTCCCAGCAGGAGCCAGCACGGTCCTTTGGCTCCTCGCCTCAGCCAGGCGATGGCACAGAAGGCCCAAGAGAAAAAGGAACAGCAAAAGGATCCCGGCTGCGAAGCCCACGAGACGGGATGCCCGGCTGCTTCTCAGCCAGCCACTCGACAACCATCCCAACGTCCCACTTCCAATCAATTCCCAGCGGCTTCCCAGGCTGGTTGTGCCCGGTGGTTAAACCCCCTTTATAAAAAAAAATGCGAAGACTTAAGCCTCTGCTCTCCGCGACTGCGAGAAACACCCAGCGAGAACCACAGCTGCTGGGAGCCCACGCTGCTCTCCAGCCCTTCCGCTGGGCTGGTTAAATAAAGCTCTCGAGAACTTCTTGACCTGAAAGGACCTCTCAGCCGGAGTGTTCTTACGCAGCCTCAAAAATGCTCTTCTCCACAGAAAACCGGAGCGCAAAAGCGAACAAAGGAAGGAGCAAGGCTGAGCAGCCTCCCTAGAGTAACCACCAGCACTGTCGACACCAGGAACTAATCCGAGGTCTTCTGACTGGGGAGGAGAGGGAGCACGGACACACAGAAAGGTGAAGCACAACCAGCCCCTAGGTCCCCAGCTTCTAAGCCTGATTCTGGATGGAAAACTGGGATGAGAACCAGCTGTTTTCTCACCCTGGATTGAGTCTCTGCGGGCCAGCTGTCCACTCACCTGCTGGTAGTAGATATAGGCCAGGATTCCAGCGATGATCTCCAGGAGAAAGATGCACAGCAACAAAATGAAGTACTGTAAAATAACGGGGAAAGCGGAACGTTAGAATAGAATGTGAGGAAAAGCCAGGAGGGAGCTTTTCACAGAACGCATGACTGTGTCCATCCACGCTTCTCTTCAGCCATGTTTCAAAGGCAGGGGCTGGCATTAAGATCTCAGGAAAGGACCGATCCCACAGATTAAGATAGAAAAACAAGAAAACAGAAAACCCAAACCAAACGAAAACTGAAGACAAGCAGCAGCGAGCATGAGTTTAGCTCACAGAGCCAGAGGGACGAAGAGAATGGCAAAGGGCCAGCAACTGAGATAAGATCACTGGACAATGGAAAAGTAGTTGCTTGGATCATCTGGTGACTACACTCAGTATCACAGAAAACATCTAATCCTGACATCAATACAAAGAAAATTTGAAAGTTTCGCTTGTTTTGGGCATTTCACCAAGTTACTAAGGAGCAATATATGTTGTAGTGACGATTCCATCAAGCAGCAAAGGGCTCATCTCACCAAGGCCACAGCAGCACAAACCACAGATTTTTATGTTTCTGGTGACTTCTGTGGGGCTCAGCCACAGGCTGAATCCGAAGCGGATTGATGGCAGCACCGATTCACACTCAGGACTGTGACCGTACAGTCCACCCAACCAGGATCTAGAGTGAAAAGCTCAGTATCTCAAAACCAAAGTGAGAAAAGCTCTTAGAAGATTTAAGAGGAGAACATGAGCATTTCCTAGAAGGGCTCAGTGGCGGCGGAATGGAAAGGGATGTGTCCTGCTCCCCACCCCATTCTCAGTTTTACCTCTGACCTCAAGAGATGTTGGTTCCCAAGCGATTCCAGGTATTTCCAAGCCCCTTTGCAGGAGGCACAGACACTCAAGGCTTCCTCCTTCGCCCCGCTGTTGGGGTTCAACAGCTGCCAAGGAGGGACAGCTGGGTTTCATCTGCAGCTCGGGGGGCTTGAATCTGAGCACACAATCTCCAGCTTTCACCCTCTGGCCCCCACGCTCTCCCCCACGGCAAGCTCGGCCGGTCCCTGCACAAGGTGCCCATTCATACCAGGGGAATGAGTCACCCAGCGGGTCTCAACGCTCGCTGGCAGGAGGTTGCAAGGGGGTCAAGAAAGGATTGGAATGTCTTGACACAAAGGCTGGCTTTCTTTTGCTACGCCCTAACTGCTCTGACATCGCCTCTCCGACCAAGGACGCTGAGAGCAACCAAGGAGAACTGCAAAGACTCTGTGATTTATTTGATCTGTGTCGTCACGTCAGAGGCTTTTGGGCAGGGTCGGGTTGTGTCGCCACGGCTCGGCTCACTGCGCGGGCTCACAGCAGGCAGAAATAAAACAGGTACTGAGCAGACCTTAAAAATCTGGAGTCACAAGGGCCTTGTAAAACCGTGTAAGGGAGGTTAGTGCATCTGCCACCCACGAATCCAACCTGTCTCTGCCGATCCATTGCATCGTCAGCCTTATCTCAGTCTCATCGTACCCTCGGGGTGACTTCCAGGTCCGGAGAGCTTTCACTCTGGACACACACAGAGCACCGGGCTGCTCTCCTTGTTCTCCATCAGGAGTTGCAGGGTTGTCTTATGCAGGTCTGCCCTGGGAGGAGGAGGCCAGCTCTGGCACAGAACTGCCAGGATGTGCCCCACTTGCTTCCTGAGAGGCTGCGGAACGAGTCCGAAGGCCTGGAGTAAACACATACGTGGTCCTGGGTGGGCTCTGGGCGAAATTCCCCCTTATTCTGGCTCCAAGCCAGCGTCAGGGCTACCTGCTGTCTTCGAGGTCAGATTTCTGCCATCCAGCTTCAAGCGCTGGAGTGCAGCGCCAAGCTTTAGTTTGTTTTTTCTGAAATAACCTAAAGAACAGCTCAACCCTCCTGGAATCCAAATCTCTCTGTGGACAGACCTTTCTCCTACCTGAAGAACAACTCTGCTCCTCACTGCAGTGGGAGGGCTCCAGGCCAAAACGCAGCAGGAACAGAAATTGTAGCCGATGTGCCCTCCCTTCTCCCTGCCCAAGGCCGCTGACTAGAAGCAGTGTCGAGGGGCCAAGCCTGAAGAAAGCCACCTTCTTTCTCCACGTGCAAGGTCTTCCTCTTGATGGGCCCTTTCCTGAGACTCCTGCTTGCACACTTTTGCACGTGGAAGCAGGCACCTCGACTGAAGGATATAATGTAGGAGCCTGCCAGGCTGCAGATCCAGTTAAGATAGAAAGGCAGCAAAAAAATCACAGCTTCCCAAGACTTCAGCTGAGAAACAAACTGAAAACCAGGCGGGCATTTAAGAAAAAGCTGTCAATAATTGGTTTTTAAAAGGACCAAGGAAGCGCCGAGGAGAAGCTTTATGTATTTACGTGGGTCTCTGGTACAGAGAGAAATTGGGACAGGCTGGCACAGACCCCAGGGCGCTGACTGCAAAGCTGTGAGGATTATTCCCTGAGCTCAGAGCTGGCAAAGGCCCCCGGCCAGGCTCGCCCTGCCCTGGCAAGCACAGCCCTCTCTCTCGTGCGGATTACTCACTGGCAACCGAAGCGGAGCACAAGCAAGAAGGGACAATAGGCCTGTCACAACCAGCCACTCCGAAAGGACGCGTGGTGTGAGGAGACAGAGCGGCCTTTTGTTCCCAAGAGACAATTATTATTTTTCTGTGGCAGAGTAACAAAGCAAACCCCATGGGATTTTCATCCGCGGCTTCTGGCCGAGGCAAAAAGACAAAGGGAGATCTCTCTGGTGTGGGGATTAAGTGAAGCCTCCTGTGTTTTATTCTCCCTTCCTGGCCCTCCTCTGCCTCTCACGGGGATTACCAGGCCCTCAGAGCAGTGATGCAAGCAGCAGGCTTGCTCACGACTCCCATTTCTGCTCCTCTCCCCAGCCCAAAGAGGGGAAATGAGGCAGTTGGGTGAGCCAGGATTTGCAAAGGAAGGAGCTGGTGAAGAGTTGCTGCAGGATCTTCTTCTCTAACTGTGAAAGCCAAGAGCCACAGATTTCTATTTCGGAGGTGGAACAGAAACCCCAGGGCAGGCCAAAAGCTCCAGTGCAGGTGGGCGAGCAGGGAGCTCAGGAAGGAGCACAGAGGAAGGTGTGAAAAAAGCAGCAGGTTGTCAAAACGGCATGGCTTTTTTTTTTTGGGGGGGGGGGGAAAAGGGCTGGGTTTTTTTTTTTGGGGGGGGGGGGAAGAAAAACTAAAATAATTTTGCAACGAAAGAAAACATTCATTGGAAAAGTCTTGATTTTTGACAACCGAGTGAAAAAGCGCCTTCATTTGGCTTGAACTTACTGCCATTAAAAGCCAGTTTTGACACGGGCCTCTTGTATTTTTCTCCTCTTCCCATTTTCCAAAAGAGAATACGGGATAAGGAAGAGACAAAGGCTTCAAGATTCCGGCCAGTTTCAGACAGACACTCTTACACAAAGTCTCCGTGCTATGGCTATATTTTGTACTTTTGAATCATGTGCGTACTCCGGATGGATGGAAGGAAAAGGACAGAACTGCCACGATGCTTCCCTCCCTCCCAGCCTGCTTCAAGAGAAAAACAGCGCGAACCCCCTCCCTCCCCAACAGAACAACTGCGCAAAACTTACCACTCGTAGCAAATTCCGCCGCTCTTTGAAGGTGGCGCAGCAACCGAGGATGCCGGTGACCATGACGACCACCCCGGCCACCACCAGTATGTAAGCGGTGGCCGAATAGGTGCTGGAGGAGAGCAGGCTGATGTAGTCACTCTTCTCAGCCAGGGTCCAGGCGCCCACAGCCATCACGGCCCCGCCAGCCAGCTGGGCAGGGAGAGAAGCAATCCTTTGGCGTCAGCAACTTTGTGGTGGAAAGCAGAGCCCTAGGAAGCTCCAGGGTGGAGCCAGCTGCAAGAAGGTGTTGGCCACCCTCGCTCCAGCTGTCCCACCCTGCTGCCAGGACCCCCTCTGCCACGAAGAACGGCAAGACAGTGGAATCCTCAGGCTCCGTGAGAAAGCAAGCCAGGTGAAAAACCAAAAGCATGTTTTCAGGCTCCCTTTTATTTCCTCTAGTTGTTAAGGTGACCCGGAAACAGAGACTAGAGGGTCAAACCCTAACTTCCGCAGGCCGGGCAGGCAAGCCCAAAGGGATGCGATTTCCCCCCACAGGATGAGATCTCTGTCCTGCTTTCATCAGCACCTTCTGCCAAAGACTTTGTGAAGCCCAAGATTTCTCTCCCCTGACATCACAAGTGCAGCGCGGCCGAAGTTTCTTACCCAGAAAAAGAAGTTGAAGATGAAAAGCAGGTACTTGAGGCAGATGGTCCCACATGTTTCCTTCTTTTCCGTGTACTCGCGCATCTTTCCAGCTTAACAGATTCCTGAAAAAATAATAAAAAATATAATCAAGAAGAGGTCAAACCATTCAACTGACTTCAGGGATGCCAGACAGCACTTGCTGAGATAAAGAACTCTTGGATATATTTTGGGTGGCCTGCAGCAGGAGATCTCACAGTGTGAAAGGCAGGCAGACGGTACCAGCACGTGACCTTCCTGTGCTGCCTTCATCCTCCTCCTCCTCCTCTCTCGCCATCCTCTGTTGCTTCGGGAGGCCCATTTTCCTTCTGACCAGCACTCGTGGCAGACAGATCAGCCCAACTGCCATTGAGCCAAAACTGTGAATCATGATCATGACGGTGAGAAAATTTCACAGGGTTTATCATAGAATCCTAGAATGTCTTAGGCTGGAAGGGACCTTAGAGATCATCTAGTCCAACCTCCCTGTCCTTGGGCAGGGACACCTCTCAACTAGCTCAAGTTGCTCAAGGCCTCATTCAACCTGGCCTCGAACACCTCCCTTGAGGTGTTCAAGATGCTAACATCTTCCTGTTCGAACCAAAATAAATGAAATCCCAGACCTGTTATGCAGAAAAGCCCAGGATCTGGCTCCCGACTGCAGCCTGTAACAGCGATGGAAACCTCTGCCCTCAACATTTAAGGAATAATTTGTCTCCAGAGAATACTCTTTCCTCGCTGGCATTAGTTACAACTGCCTTAGAGAGGGATCTATTTAAGTTGAGGCTGTTTTTAATCTTTGCAACCATAACTGGGAATGTACTTGTGACCCACTCAAGTGCCCTCTCCCTTTTGAACCCCAGCAATATGTTGGAGTTATTAATTCTTCTTCACTCTGCTTATTTCCGACTGGCCCTTCTCACTGGCCAGCCATCTCCTCGGGCGGCTACTAAGAGGAAGAAACACAACCACGGGCTTCAGGTGATCCAACGGCACAAAACTGGACACGTAACAAACGGGAGCTCGTTGTGGGTCAGTCCCAGTTACCAGTAACTGGTAACCCAGTTACCAGATGGGGTTGGACTAGACGATCCTTGAGGTCCCTTCCAGCTTGGGATTCTACGATCTGTACCCGCTCTGGAGCAGGTTTCTCAGAAGTAGGTCTGCAGCCACCGCAGCTCCACGTCACTTCGTCACCTCCTGCCAATGCCAGGGGATCGGAACATCTCGGAAAACAAAAACATTCTCACCACTGCCTGACCAGGCAGACAGGCCAAAGCAGCGCCCAGAGCCTCCAAGCTTGGGTCAGTCAGTCAGGATTATCTTTGCCGCTGCGTTGCTGTCATCTGGCTTTAGAGCCAGACGAGCCAAGCCTGGGAAGAGCAGCTGCCCGCTCTGCGGCACAATTCTGTTTTATTTGCGGTGAGCTGTTTCCCTTTGCTTCACGCCAGCCCACCCGGAAACTCCAGACAAGCCTGGGCTGCAAACTAATAAAAAGAAGCTAACAGGGAAGGCGAGGATGAGAACATTCCGGCAGTCCCACCCACGGCTGTCCCCTTGCCGCTGTTTCACAAGAAAACATTTTTCTCTGAAATAACATCTGGCAACAACAGCTGGCAGCAGAAAGCTGTTTCACTGGCAGAGGGAGCAGCCCTGAGATGGTGGCACACATCAAGGAGAATACCTCTTCAGAGCTATCTTCAGAAGAGATCGGAACCTCCAGCAGCACTCGGGGGAATTACCGTGTTGCCGCACAAGACGGCCCGGGGTGGCAGGCAGGGACGGAAGCTGGTGGTGCCGTGCACCCAACGAGCCCATAAATTCTCAACAAGAAGACGCCCCATGAATGCAATGTTCGGGGAAGGCGACAGATTTACTGCTCCCAGGGGCTTCGTTTAGCCCCAGCCCGGGACCAGCAGTGGCAAGGCCAGCTCCTGCAGCCACACACAACCCCGACAGCCCAGACTCGAGATGAGCAGACGCTTAAGGGCTCTGCCGGGCTTTTTGCCTTCCCCCGTTCTACCATCAGGGCTTTACATAGAAGAAAAGAGGCCGCAGGTTTGCCGAGACTGATCCTGGTTCATGTCCCTGGGAGCTGGGGGAGGTGGTTACAACGCTGTCCTCGGGCATTTCCAGGTGTCACCCCGCAGCAGGGCTCTAGTGAGAGAGGCCAACTTGTCCCTCCCTCTGATCCAAGAGCTCAGAAATCCCACCTCACTCCGGGCGAGGACCAGGCACCCGGAGAGCTGGGACTGTAGGTGTGTTCAGCTGACAGACAGCCTCAACTCGCCCTGAGGATGGCCGGTCCCGCTCCGCCGACAGCCACGTCAGGACCTTTCGGGTTGCTGGGAGGAGAGGAGCCATCCGTTTCCAGAAAGCTGGCAGGGAACAGCTGCAGGTTTTATGGTGATTATTCCTGCAGGGACAGCAGGCCATGAATCAGAGAGTAATCAGGCCTGTCTCCTGTTTGATCTGTCCTGCCCAGCGAGGAGCAGAGCCGACGAGGCTGCCTCTGAGCACTTCGTGACTCAGCCAGCTCGGGGAAAGGCAGCTCTCTCCGGACCCTCTTTCTGGAATTGATGGGCTTGTGCTTCTCCTGTTGCCTGCAAAGACAAGGTCAGGCTTTAGGAAGCGATGCTGGTCTTCGAGGAAGGCAAGCAAGGGCAGGAGACGCCGGTTCAGTGCTTTTCCCAAAGAGCCCGGGCAGCAGAGAGGGATCTGCCTTGCAGGCTAAGGGTGACGTCGGGCTCCGAGCCCCAGAAGCAGAGAGGTGCTGATCTGCACCACAGCACTGGGGTGAACATCCTCAATTCACTGACATGCCCAGGGTCTCTTGGCTTCAGTCTTCTTCACAACAGACTCTCAGAGGCGACACGAATCGCTCTGGAAACCAGCTGAGAAGCAGCAACATTAATTAACACACACGGCAACGCTCTATTCTAAAACCACCGGGGCAAAGGTGTGTTTGGAACCACAACAAGCTCTCCAGCGGACAGAAAGCGACAAGCTGTGCCACAGGGGTGTATTTACAAACGCACAAAAATATATTAATTAGACATGAGCTTTGTAACAGGAAGCACTTTGCTAACTGAAGAGTTTGGTTAGGAGACCAAAAGAGAGAATAATGTTCACTTGGTCCAGCCCAGTAGGCACGAGCTTCACCAGCCAGTGAAATCCAAGCGAGTGGTCATGGGATGTGGGCTGCGAAATTTAGTCTTTTTATGTCATTCACCAGAAATCACCAACAGGTTCCTACTGTGCCCCCCTCACCCTCGCAATGTAAGCCACAAGGAGAAATAATACCTAACTCAAACAAAATGAGAGGGGGAAAAAAAAAGTGAGTTCAGTGCGACAGAATCTGCCCATGAAAGGGAGAGGTAACGGTGCGAAGGTTAAGTCAAGAAACTGGCAGTTAAAGAGCTTGAGCCCAGTTCCCTGCTCTGACCCAGACTTGGTGTGTGGCCTTGGGCAAGCCCCTTAGTCCACCCCTCGCCTCTGCTCTTTCTCCTCAGCGCAGGACCCTCATCTTCCTCTGAATAAGGATCTACAGGGAGAACCCCTGCTGCCAGAGCAATGCCAGCTGTGAGGCACGCCAGGCTGCAGGCGACTGATGTGCTGGCAAAAGCCCCACAGCAACTTCATTTCACTCAGCCACACAGGCTGCTCTGGCCGGTGAGATGGAACAACCTCTCCTGGAGTTAGAAAAAGCCGTATTTCTAATGAGAGGGCTGCCTGGAAAAGCGAGTTTGGCAGCCACTGACAAGGCACGCTGCTCAAGTACCTTAAAGATTGTGAGATTCTAGCACAGAATCACAGAATCACAGAATGTCA